ATTTACGATTTCTTTTCCTTTTAAGGATCAATTTTGGTTTCATTGTATTAAGGACCTTTGATCAAGTAAAAAGATCAAACTTTAATGCAAATCAAGCCCACTGATTACTGCTGTCTATCTCTGGGGTTAAAGATAAACTGGGGATCAAGAGCTTTGTATCTCCAAAGGTGGAGAGTCAAAGGAAAAAATCAGGAGCCAGACTGAGGGAGACAAGGAAGACCAAAAAACAAGTGCATAGATGTAACATATTAAGTCTTAACTGTCTCTCACCCCGTCATTGATAAGAGGCTGTCTGCTTCTTTAACTCCTCATATAACATGCTCATGCGCCTTACAGTATTTTACACTAAGTAGTGACTCAAATTTTAGCTCTCATCCTCTAATCCCATTAGTTTAGCCGAAGTATAATGAAAAATCCATGGTCCTTGGTGCTAAATGAACCTAAATGTAAAGCAGGCCCACCACTCAGTAGCTCTGTGACCTTGAGCAAATTACTTACCATTTCTAATCCTTAGTTTCTTAAATGTAAATGAAATAATTAACCCAAGAATTAGCATTAGAAATAACATTCACAAAGTGCCCGCTTACAAGGAAAAAATGCTCCATAAACAAGAGCTGTTATTATGTAAAAGCACCTAATTCATCAGTGCTCAGTGCACTTAGTTTCCTCTGGCGGCAGATTCCTGTTTCCAGAAAAGTAAAGACGAGAGAGAGGACAGAGCCACAAAAAAGATGATCAATTTCATTTTCAGAGCGTAACACAATGAATTCAAACAGAAAAGTCTACGAATAGGTATGACACATGGACAATCCGCAACTTAGAAATGGAGAGGTTCGAAGGTCTGATTATAATTCAGTTGTTTAGAACTAAAAGCATGCTTTCCCGTGGAATCAACGTTCAATTCAACTCTGACATGAGCTCACAAAGGCCCATCGAAATCATAATGTAGTTAAAATGTTATATATATCAATAAAATTAGTAGAAAACAAACTGGAAGACTCACCAAACAATACAGAAAACCAAGACACTTTAATAATAGTAATTTCATTTATTTCAGAAGCTGACACCTGAAGGAAAAGGTTTTATGGGAAGTTTCCTTGGTGGTTCAGAAAGGGCTTTTAGGGAAATTCCAAAAGCTTCTACAAAGCCCAGGACCTTGGTTCTTTATTATGCTTTATTTCACCTCACATTTTATGGTTTCCCTTTCAGCATAGGTGAACACCAGCACTCTTATAGTTAATAGCCATGGTTGCAATCATTTCTTCCACAAATGAGAAGGAATAATTGGGGAAGAATTAGAAGATAGGAAAGAGTCATAAATGATGTGCCTAAATATAAAGAGCCTTAGATTGAATTAGGTAACCTCAGTAGAAAACTGAAAAGGGGTAAAACACAACATTAAAATATTAAGGGAAGAAAGCCCAGTGATGAGAACTGGCCAGAGTATCTTCATGAATAACTGGTTACTTTAACGGTCGCAGATTAAAAAAAGAAGAAAAGGGCAGAAGAGATGAAAGCAAGCAAAACAATCTGCAACCGGCCAGTTATACAAAGGAATTGCTCAGAAGTTGAAGAATCATAATTCAAAATGTGGCACTGCCACTGTAATACAAGATTTTCATCTAAACCCTCTAAATTCCTCCAAATGTACCTACATAAGTAGACAGTGTTGTGGTAACAGGATTACTATCCTGTTACGCAGGTAATAGCAACATCATCTAAACTAGAAAGATGACTTCTGAAATCTAAAAGTAGGCAACAGAATAAAATGAAAATTGCTTTAGGAAAGTCTTCCTCAAAAGCCAGCAGGATGCTACATGCCTCTCAGGCTATGAGGAATGCCAGTGATTTCAAACCACAGACAGAAGCTTTTGCTTTTCTCCATGAAAAACATCAGTTCCATGTAGTCCAACTTATTCAGCAATCTAGCAAGTCTTCCTGTGAAGCAGGGAAATGTTTTTTGAACATGTTGATGAGTCTGAAGAAATGATTAATGAAGAGATGTTTTAGTCAGATAAAAGAAGGCTTTCTAAGTCTGGTCTTAAGTCCAGGATGTATATCAGTAAGAGAAATATTTGCAAAACAAATAAACATAAAACACACTCAACAATGAGCCAAACCCAAATAATTTCGCCAGACCCAACCAGAAACGAGATGCCACGAGCCCAACAGCTTTTCAGATCACTAAGGAACCGCCAAGCTAGCTGGTTCCTATTGCAAAAAATTTATTTTTGACTAATGCAGGCAGCCACTTTCAGATCAGTGAGATATTTCTACAGATCACAACTATGTAACAAATGTTGCCAAATCGAATGCTCCCCAAATGAACAAAATAATTCTAAATAATCAATCTTAATGAGAAAACAAGACTAAAAGAAATGTTAATGTGGGCCATTGAAAAGCTTGGTCCTATTTCAGGTAAGGGACGCTAAGAAGATGCTGTGGATTCCTGACCACCAAAGCATTGTCTAATTTCTCTTACATATCTACAAATCTCTGTCAAATGTATGTAAATACTAATTCCATTAATAAAACTATGAAGTTATTTAATAGCATTGCTCATCCATGATAACAGAACACCCTCATATATTTTCTTAATAAGCGGATACTGAATATACAATTGTCATGAGTGCCAGAAATATTTCTGAAAATAGATGATGATAAACACTGCCCCAGTACAATGTATCTAGAACAGTCAAGTAAAACACGCAGTAAAATGTCCTTCAGTTCATCTTTTACTCCCATTTAAAATATTCAGTTCTAATTTCTCACAATCTATTTTCTCTTTCTAGCAAGATTATTGATATTGAACATCTTAGGAACAAGTGAAAACTCGAAGAGCTTTGTCAATCAAGTACAGTATCTTAATTTTAATCATACATGTCCTTTAATAAGCTGCATTCAACTATATACATATAAATTCACATCACATCCAATCTCAAGAGTTAAGACAGTTCCTTCTTTCAATTAACCAGTGACTTCATCTTACAAAAGAACTATAATTAAAGTCAAATTACTCTGTAAAGTTCACTTTAACAACAGAATATGGTCATTCAGCTGATAAATCCTCCCAGAGCAAAAGTAATTGGAAAAGTAAAACTATAAAATATCATTTGCTCATTGGGAATTATTATTACATGTTTACTCCACCGTATCTGCTGAAAGACATAGGAACTCCACCAAAGTTAATTTAAGAACTTACCAATTTCCCTTGCAATTCTGACAGCTTCATCTACATCCTGGAAAAGCAGGAAATGAGACTCAACATTAATCCCAACAGCCATTGCACAATGTCTTTAGGGCAGTCATATATTGCGCTACTGTCTCCTCTGATTCATTTAATGTCCAATTTTACAACCTTCTAACTCTTTTCATTCAGAGAAATGTAAAATTAATACCATAAGTGGAATGTAAATTCTACCTCATCATTATTATATTAAGAAACTCAAAGCAGGTTGAAATGAGCTGGCAGGAAGCACTACCAGAATTACCAAATGATTTGGTGCAGTTGCTGGAACTTAATGGCAGAATTTAGATGTTTACAATCAATACCGAATCATAAATCAGATCATTAAAGCTTGTCCACAGCCCACTCGTTCCTGTCCTTCTGATATTTATGTCATGTTTTCCTAGATTCTGTCAGCAGGGGGAGTTGATTCTCTATTGTTTGGGAGTAACTCAAGATTTTCCAGAAATAAAGTACATTTCCGGTATCTGCAGGAATTGCCAATTCTCCCCCCAACCCCACCACCACCAAATTTGCTCTAGGAATCTCCATTGTTTTTTCTTTTTTTTTTAACTTCTTCCTTTTTTCGGGTACATATTTTATCTTTACCTTACTACATAACTTAAAACCTTAAATTCAACCAACCAACCAATGGGGGTAAATTTCCAAAAAGCCAAGGAAAGAAATGCATTCCAAAACAGTACAAGGTAAGAGTTTATGAATATAAGGATTAGTTATTGCTAAATATCAACCAATGTCACTAAAAGGACAAAAACTTCCCTTGAATCTAAACTATTTCGTTGATCATTAACTCACCTAACACACCCAAAAAGAACATTCCTGATACATTTACTTACATAACAGTAAAGACAAAGTTGAAAAGGTGTTAAATGCAAGCCTCCTAGTAAATTTAACTTTTTTTTTTTTTATTTTTATAATTCAGTGACAAACTAAACTAGCACAAGGGATGACAATAATGTTTTGAAACCACTAGAGGTAAGAATACCTGAAGTTTTAGAAAGTCACTAAAATACTGAAGTGAAGGCTGGAATTTTTTTTAAGCTTTTAAGCTAATACTTTAAAAATGTCGAATAACCATGTCAGAATCCTCCCCCAAAAAGGGGGGTGGCGTGGGAGTTGGGAGGGGAGGGAATGTTTATAACTAGTTCGTTTATGTCAAAAAAAAAAAAAAAGTCTTCAGTACCTAATAACATCCCCTGAATACAGAGGTTGGCAGGGGAAGTTGTCAGAAAAATTTAATTTCCTTTCATTAGCCAGTCTGCTCCACAAATAGGTGCTTGTTAAGTTCAAAGCAGTCCTGAAAGCGACATCAGTTTTAAGTCTTTTTTTTTTTTACCCCAAGCAGTCACATCTGCTAATGAGATTTTTCAAATAACAATTGTTTTCCAGTCAGAGATAAATCTATACCTCCCACTCTTCTCCTCCAAAAAATCAAGGTTTACTGCTTTATTACACCTTACTGTTTTCGCTGACCCTACATTCTCCAAATTTTAGCTTAAAGGGATAAAAATCCATGAAAAGGGTCCTTTAAGAATGTTAGTGGTTTCCACACACTGAGTTTGAAGGTTCTTTGTTCAAGCCAGTGACAGTTATTGGAGAATACTTCCCCTTAATAGCCTCTCTGTCAGGAAGTGTTAAACCTGCCAAATGCGGACAATTAGTGCCTCGCGAACAAAATACAGGAAGAGTGCTGGCTGAGGGAGATGGATTATGAGAAGCCTGGAAGGAAACTTTTAACATGTCTTTTCTTTCAAATGTGTAATAGCATATTTGCAAAAGACATTCTGGGAGAAGATACACTGCTGCCTAAAAAGTTCATTACCTTGACAGAACAGCCAAATGTTAAAGATAATTCACAGAATTCAGTAGTCATATTTGTCACTTATTTTTATATATATATATATATAT